ATTTTTATAGTATAATTATCGTAGTGACAAAGTTTAATGTTATAGAGGTGAAATAACATTTATTGATTCAATGTTATTTTTACTAACAGTAGACTATTTTTATGCACAAGGAATTGTGTAAGATATGTATGTATCAATATTTTTTATCATAGATAGTAAACTACTAAGTATAACAAGTAAAATTATTTTCACTTTTATATGAAAATATGCGTACGAAGTATATATTTTCACAAAATACATTTTTTTCAATTTTATTTTAATATATTTTTATTTGAACAGTTTTTAACAATTAATGATACATTATAAACTTACTTTCATTTTTGTATTAATAACTAGATCGATGTTAATAATTTAATAATATTTAATGAATATCACTAAAAATCTATCAAGTTTATCCGTTTTTGGATTATACAAGATTTAATAAAAATTAAATTTCAAGAGCACACATTGGTAATATATCATCCTAAGAATGATTAAATTTTTTCATATGTAATTCTTTTATACACATATACTGGGTCGATTCTTTTGTAACTTCATACCTTGTCGAAGTTCGATGTATGGCGAAATTAATTGTACCGTATGTATTACTTCAGGGGCAATGATGCAAGAACTGGCTCAGGCTACATTCACATACGAGCAATTTCCCGAGGTAATGTCCATGTTGTGGAAAAGGATGTTGCAAGAAAATAAACGGAATTGGCGTCGAACGTACAAGGTAATTCCATTTTCACCATGAGAATATTCAATTTGTTATTTGGCAAATAAATTCTTTGTTTTTTATTTTCAAAAATTAAAACAATAAATATAAACAAATAAAATAAATTTTTGTTTTTTACTTTATTTAAACAATCATTTGTATTTCATTGCTTGCAGTCCCTTCTGCTCCTAAATTATCTAGTTCGTAATGGATCAGAACGAGTGGTGACATCATCTAGAGAACATATTTATGACCTGAGGTCTTTGGAAAATTATACTTGTATTGATGAATTTGGAAAGGATCAAGGAATAAATATTAGGCACAAAGTGAGAGAATTAATTGATTTTATTCAGGATGATGATAAATTACGAGAAGAAAGGAAAAAAGCCAAGAAAAATAAAGATAAATATGTGGGTTTATCAAGCGAAGCAATGCGCTTTGGTGGTGGGGATAGATGGACAGACAGGCTAAAATGGGATAAAACTAACACAGATACTTACAATGACTGGGATCGAGATAATAGGGGAAAAGGTTTTGAAGATACAAATAATAGGTAAATATTAATTTTTATATTTTTATTAATAAGAAATGAATATTTATCGTATTATTTATTTTTGCTTTTATATAATAGTGATGATGGTGAAAGAGAAGATTCTGATAATGATGTTCATCCAAGTTCAAGAAGAGGAGGTAGAGAATATAGAGATACAATGGATAGCATAGATCGTGTTAGTAAAACTACTACATCTACAACTTCCACAAATGCTTCACCAGCACGGATGACAAGAACTATTAAGAAGGTAGACTTAGGAGCTGCAGCAAATTATGGAAGAGAACAATCCAATGTAAGTAAAAAATTATTAAATACAAGCGATTATAGATTTTATAATATTTATATTGAAAATTACAAATTAAATTTATAGAATGGTATCTCTGGATCACAAAATAATTCTTTGTCTAAACAAAAGAATAAAAATGACATTTTAAATGATATTTTTGATTCTCAAAATGAGAATAATACTAAACCAGTTGTTGATGATGATGATGACTTCAATCCGAGAGCAAATACTCAATCTTCTTTACAAAGCCAGAATGCAAATACAGATTTTGGAGATTTTACTAGTGCATTTGGTAGTCCCACAGCGAAAACGAAAGACAGCAATGATGAATTTGCAGATTTTACATCTGCTTTTAACTCTTCTGTGACGATATCTAATTCTCCAGTGCAGCCACAACTGCCACAAACTCAAATAAATTTAATGGGCGCAACAGTACCAAATATTAATAGTTCAATGACAGATAATGTAAATAATGCAATGTTTATTAATGCCCAATCTGTAAACGCTCCTTCTTTTACATCTGTAGTCCCTGCAAATACAATTCCTCAAAACCCTAGTATGAGTAATAATCTATTTGATATACAACCACAAGTGCTCAGTAATCAGCAAACATTGAATAACAATGCAGGTAAATTATGGAGGATATTAAGTTATTATATATTCACTAATATCTTATTATTTTGATATAAAATGGTTTTTTATAGCGCTTTCAAATGCAGATCTTTTGTCAGATTTAGATAGTTTAAATTCTTTGACTACTGGTTCCATGGATAGGCGAACGAATAACTCGAATAATTCTAATCTCTTTATGAATATGAGTTCACCATCTGCCACAGCTAGCCATGGAGGTAAGCACATGTTATTTTCTAACATAAATGTAACAGCGGTTTTATGGTTTAGTAATACTGACCTGTTATTTTATGGCTTAACAATGCTTAATCTTTAAAATTAAGAATATATAGGAAATGTTTTGTTAGATTTTGGTAAAATAAAAAATGTTCATCCTATTATACACATTTTGTTGTTAGTATTACTTGATTGTAAAATCAAAATTTAAAAACTCTAATGTGTTTGTTAAAATCAAGTTTTTGCTATGTACTTTTTCTTGCTTATTAGTTTCCAATTTATTTTCGAATTTTTTTATTTAAAAAAAAGCATGAATTTTCATTGTAAAATTTTATGCATGTGTTGATGTTGAGGATATGTTTAAAGATAATGTAATGCCCCCAAGAAAGACTTTCCTTGCAGCAACCAAGATGGAAAAAAGCATCACTTCAACTGAAAATCTTTCAAAACAAGCTGCAAATCGACTTTTGGAAGAATTGTGTTCTATGGGTCCAATTAAAAGTGTTAAAAGTTTGGAAAAGCTGAAATCATATATTTTTGAATATATTCCATTTTTACCAGGCCCACTTACCCCACAAAAATACAGTAATCTTGATTTTAACATAGAAATTGATTCTGTGTTACATGGAAAAATTCTGGAAGAAGTTGTTAAAAAATTTGATTATAATTGGCCATTACAAGGAAATACTTTAGATCCAATACTTAAACAATTGATGATTGTTGATGGTGCTACATTACCAATTTTAACAGAATCTTTAGCTGCCTTAACTTTTGCTTTGAAAGAAACTCAAGATGAAAAAAAGATTTTTACTATTTCAATAATTTTGGAACAATTAGTGAAAAGTGATTCTTTGTTTTCCGCAATAGTAGATGCATGCAAATATCGAACTAGAAGCATAATGCAAGAAGAAGAATTCGATGAAACATGGCGGAACACTGTACAAATTTTAATTTCGTTACCTAATCGCGTAGCGAATAAATTAAAGAATGAGACATTTGATAGTTTTCTTCCTCAGATGTATCTTAAAATTATGAGTTTTCATATCGCTCGTGCAATATCTTTCATAAATATTGGGCTACGTTATGAAATCAATGCAGAAATAAAATTGCTGTCGGTTTTAATCAGTAAATTGGTTATTACTACAAAATCAGAAAATCTATTACCTTTTACAAATATTATAGCAGAATGGTGTTTTCAGAATAAAAATAATGAACAAAATTTAATTCAGATTATGTTGAAAACATTAGATACACTAAGTATAGAACCAATAGCTGTACTATTTTTGAAATATTGTGATGTAAATCTTGGAGTGTATTCAATTTTTGGAGATATGCTATCAAATTCAAATTGGAATTACACGTTAACAACGAAAATTCCTTTAATGTGTTATTATAATGATGAAAATTTAGTAATAAACTTGATTTCATATTTAGCTCAATTTTTAAATGAAAATCGTATTCTGATCGAAGTATTAATAAAACTTTTGGATGTTTGGGGTGATAGAAGTGCTTTAAGTCATACCTCCGTAGAACAACATAAATATATTTCAAAATTAATAATTATGTGTATAAGAAAATCTAAAAGTTATTTAAGCAAAGGTGAAAAAAGCAGTATTCAACAATTACTATTTTCTGGAATATCTGTTCATCTTGAATCTACACATATTATTTTAAGGGCAATGGGAATGTGTGTTGGGGAAATTTTTACTAAAGAATTATCTGAATCTGATGATGCACCAAGGCTTTCTTTTGAATATAATAGTATGCCTAGTGATGTAATGGATTTAGTTCAATCTTTAAAAGAATTAGCTGTAGAAAGAAAAAACTCAAAGGTAGCAGAACATACTGAAAGTAATAACTTAATTCTTGAAGATATTGAATTTAACACGTTAGGTGATAAAAAGCTATATGAACTGGGTGTTGAATGTAATCTTTTACTCAAGAAAAAATCTAAAGCAGAAGATAATAAAAATGAGCAAATCTCAGTTATAGCAACTTCAAAGAAATCAACTACATTGAATACACAAACTTTGCAAAATAATGCAGTAAATAAAGATAGAGTTGAAAGTGATTCAGAATTAGATAGTGACGATGATTTAGTACCATATGATATGTCTCATGATACAAAAGCTAGCAACAAATTACGACCAGTATATCTGCGGGACCTACGTGATAATTTAGTGAATGAGAAAAATTCCACAAATCCGGACATTTTTTCAGAGTCTTTAGAAGTGTGCGAGGAACTAATATTATCACAATTACCCGACGATGATGTATCGTTTGCAATTGAATTATTAGAGCTTCTTGTTACACTTAAAGAATCCTGTTATGTAGAAAATTTTGAAGTATTAACATTTAGATCTTGTGTCGCTATAGTAATCATTTATCCTAAGGAATGTGCTGAATTCTTATGCAGAGAGTTTTACTTGGAGGTAGATAAATATTCTGCAAGTCAACGATTATTTTTCCTTGATATATTAGCAGAATCGGCAAAGCGATTATCAGCTGTTCCAGTTAATGAAAATAAAGAAAATATAATGAATGAATCAAAGATAAAACCAAAGAGAAAAGAAATTTCAAACAAAGTATCACTTTTCATTAATACTGAGAAAAGTCAACACTACAACATATTATACAGTGATGACTTTGAAGAATTTGGAAAGCCAGAAGATCAATTTGAAGATTGGCGGGAAATTATTGATAAAAGAATTGAATCAAATACAAGAAGATTCGCACATAGTATAAAATCTCCCAAAACATTTGAAAATAAATTTGGAAATGTTGCATCTTCATTTTTTTATCCATTACTCTATGGTTTTGGTAAACAAGGAACTTGCTTAAATAGTGGATTACAAATTTTCTCAGATCAAGAAAATATTTTATTGATTCGATTTTTAAAAACTTTATCTACTATAATGATAGCAGCCCAGAATTGTTTATTAGCTTCCAAAATGGGAAAAGAAGTTCTGGAATTATCATGGGTGTTGAGATATCATGATCAAGCAAAAGTTAGAATGGCAGTAATAGAAAATGTTGCAGCTGTATTAATTGCAGTACCAAAAGACACGATTATAAATGAATTGTTTGAAACTATTATTGAAATAAGACTGTGGCTTTTGGATTTATCTCAAAATGTAATTAGCGGTGATCATGACAAAGAATGTAGAAGTTTAGGTACTTGGGTCGTATCTTTGATTGATTCTATTATAGGTTCAACATTCAATCCATAATAATTAACAAGATTTAAACAAAATATTTACAAACATCATTTTCTAATTT